TGACTAAAGCCCTTGCAGGAGTGCCCAGGATAGGCTTTCTTGTAAAAACAGGAGAGGACAAACTCCCCTACAGCTTAAGGTATTCCATAACACATTCCCTTCTGCACTCAGATAATACAGAGGAGGCTGCTCAGGACAGGCCATGGTCTTGACCTCATGCCTTTCTCCACCCTGGATGAGTGACTCAAACAGTAGGAAACCAGGGGAGCCCTCTCCAGGGTGTGAGGTTTTGCTCTAAAAAAAAAAAACACCAACAAACTATCTCTCTCATACTATTTTGCTGTACTCTGTGAGGCCAGGAACCAGCAGGTGATGCCCTTGGGAAGGCCTTGGCTGCCAAGATACCAGCAGACACCAGAGAGGGGTCTTTATCCTGTATGACAGTGGAGCAGAGAGGAGAGAAAGGGCAAAACCTTCTCCTTTGCCCCTTCCTTTCATTGTGGTGTTCTGCAGATAACACATCCCCTTCGTGTTCAATGGGTTAAACTGCTGGAAACAAGCATCTTTCTATGTTTACTGGTGTAAGCTAAAAATACCCCAATTGTGCTGACAGCCAAAGCAAGCAGAGGCTCCCAGGGGCTCTTTTTCTATCCCAGAACCATGTGGGTGCCCCAGCTGGCTGACACTGCCCCAAGTGAGACGAGTCTGAAGAGCAAGATCAGTGTCACACCCCTCACAGCCTCGCTGCACATGGTGCCTTCATCCTCTGCCTCCCAGCTGCTCCAGCAGAGCAGTGCTCAGCTCCCACCCATCCCTCTGCCCAGCCCCTGGTACCTGCTGGCTTTGGGTGCAGCAGGGGCTGTATGGTTCAGCCAGGTGATTGCAAGGGGCTGAACAAACAGATTCATTAAAAACAGGACAGGGCATCTTCATCACCTCCCGTGTGTTCCCAAGGAGGCTGTATTAACTCATGATTTAGAATAATCCCAGCTTTCATTGCAGTTTGGGCGTTTTCCATTGGGAAGATAGAAGAAATGCTTACTATAATTTACTTATGTTATACTGGCATAACTGCGTGGGTGTTCAGTTTGTATCTGCTCGTGGAGTCACTGGTTTGTGTTTGCTGGTTGCATTCACAACCTGAGACCTTTTTGGAAATGATTTATTTGGCCAACATCACCCTAGCAGCTGGCACTGCAGGTTTAGGATTTCCAGGCTGTACGGATTCAAGTTTCTGAATGCCTGGTCAGGGAGGGAAATGGTTTGCTGCCCCAGCTCTGAGCAGCAGATACAGCTTGCTTGCCTTCCTTCTCCTCCTCCTCCTCCTCCTCCTCCCCTCTCTGTTTCCAGATGCAAATAATTCCATATTTGGCAGTGTGTGACCACAATGGCTTCCTAAGGGGAAAACATCTACTTTGGCAAAAGCATTTAAGAGTCTTAATCCTGCTTCATGTTCTCAAGCATATGTGGAGTAGAGGAAAAATGCTTCCATCCTATGCCTGCTGGCATGGCTAAAGTCTTGTATTCAGAAATGCCAGCAAGCTCTCAAAGATTGGCTAATCATAAGTAATAAAGAAAATGCACTGACATTGACAAAATGAATTGCCTCCCTTAAGTAGGAAAGTGGCCTGAAGAGGAATCAGAAGCTAAGGTTCATAAGATTTTAATCCCAGTTTCTGTATCTATTCCCAGTCCAGAGGAGAACACTTAAAGGCTTTGTTAGCTTTATTCCTTTCTGAAGAGACTTTAGCTTAGTCACTGTGGTATTTAGGGCATTAATTGGCTAATTCAGCACCTTGCTCTAATGATGTAAATATCTTAAAAGCTTCACTGGAAGGATTTGAAGCTGTAGATTAAAAATTATTGCTCATTTATGACCTTTCTTTGTAACACATCTTGGAAGAGTGAAAGGCAAGAGGGGAAGATTTTCATTTTAAAAAGAGACAGGCATTTTCATTTGGCAAGATTTTGCATCCTGATGGGAAAACATAAACACCCATTCTCTGATCTTGCCTCAATCCATATTTAATCTCAGAGAGTGCTGTGGTGTAATTTTAAAGACAACACTTTCAGGAAGCATGAGGGAAATATTCCAGGCTTCCTTCTGCTTTGAAAAAACTGAAAGGAAAAAAAAAAAGGTGGGTGAAGCAGGGCAGAGATGTCACATAATCCCACATGGGGGAGTGGAAGACAATGCCACAGAGCAAAAAACAGCTAAGGGGATATTTACACAACATCCTTTAGGATTATAATGACTTTCCCTTTCCTCTCTGCAGACCCTTTTTTTTGTGGATAAGGGGATGAAACCCTGCCTGTGAAAGCCAGAGGAGGAAGCCCAGGGGTGGTTCTCATGCAGAAGATGCTGCCCTGGTCCCTGTCAGTGATGCTCTGCTGTAGGGCTGTGTTCCCCGTGCCCCAGGAGCACTCACTCCCTCCCCATCCCTCCGTGCCTGCTCCGTGCCCAGCTCTGGCAGTGCCACAGGGAGGGGGTGGGAATGAGGAATTGGATCCAGCCAGCTGCAGGGAGATGAGCAGGGTGTTAGGAGCTGGTGGGGTGTTAGGAAGACTCTGGAATTGAAGCTTACAGAGGGTGGCAGGATTAAAAATAGGCTGTAGCCAGCCTTCCCCAGCATTTTGGCATCTCAACTGCCTGTTATCCTTGTGACCCACTGAGGAAGAGGCAGCAAAGAAAGAGATTCTCTTTTCTACCACCCCAGCAGTGCAGGACAAAATGGTGTTTTGCTTCTAAACAGATGGTTCTGCTCTCTTGGTCTGATAAGATTTACTACAAGGGTGTAAATTGAGTGTTTTGTCCCTGTCTTCAGTCAAACCAAGGGACTCCCACCTTCCCCTGAGTTCAACAAGGCACTCTTTTACACTGAAGATGTGCTCATTCATTCACATCTTACAGGCTGTTTGCAGGCTTCCATCCTTTAAGAGGAAAAAAGGCAGTTTTTGTAGAAACCATCATTTTAATTCAAGATATTGATGAAAGAAGGCATTTCACAGAACTGTTATCCAATACAATCAACACTGCACCTTGGTACTTACCTTAGCAATGCTGTATTTGTTTTAGAAAAACCCAAAGACAATTCATAATTCTCAGAGGTATTGAAATCCATACTTAGATGAGGTGCTGGAACCTCCTGGCTAACAGCTCCTATTTTATAGGCCAGGAACTGCTTCTTCTGCTCCTTACCTATAGTGTGTATTTCTTCATGTTGGTTGTGGGACAGACAAGGCTTCCCTGAGCTGTGAGTTTCAGCCAGCCATGAGCACAACATATCAGCTAAAAGTAAAAAATCTGCCTTGTCCAAGAGCGTAAATTTAGGAGGAATCTTTGTGAGAGGCTGCTGAGGTGTAGGTTTTTGGTTTTTTCCCCAGCTTTAACTTTCATACATCAACAAGATCCTTCATCTGAAACATTTTAGGAAGTTTGAAGTGTGGTTGCAAGACTTGTAAGTTGGTCTCAAGCAGAGCCAACGGTTGTCACACCAGGTCCCCTGGCTCCAGCACTTTAAGAAGTTTAGCTACTTCTGCTTGGTTAAAACATGCCCTCAGGTAGCAGCTTGTGACTGGGGGAAGCGTTGTGCAAAAATACAGTGCCACCCCTTTTTTTTTGGTGTCTGCTCCTTCTAGAGCAGTATTTGTGCATAGTAATAGACTGCCAGACCATTAGAGATTTCTAGAACCAAACTCTGGGTTTGATTTTCCTTTTTCGAGCTACTGTGTGTGTAGTGTTTCTCCCCAAGAGAGTCACCAGGCAGAACAAAGGTATCTCCACAGATGCACAAGTATGTATTTACACAGCACTCCCTTGTGTCACTGTTGGGGTGGGCACAACACACAAATAGACACACTACATTTCAGAAGGCTAATATTCCCTTTATTACAACAGCCAGCTGTCTTTTCTACACTCTACAGGGTTTACACCTTGTTCATTGGTTACAATAAATCAACACAACCTTCATTGGTGTAAAACCATCTATGCCTCTGTCTTGGTTTGAAAGATGTGTCTGCCAAGAAGGGCAGGAGCCTCTTTTTAAAATGGAGAATGTAAACCCTCTCCCTCCAAATTATTATAATTCTGAAATTAAGGGGGCTCTCAGGCAAAGATATGGGAATACAAATAACAGTTCTTTACTAGGAAAATTAAAATAGAAATACAGTATTACAGAGAACAAACCCAAAACCACTGACAGAGTCAGAATACAACCTGACACCCTGTCAGTCACTCAGGGTGTTGGTAGCAGTCCCATTAAATGGTGGCTGCATCCTCCTGGATGACAGATGTGGTTCTGTTGAAGCAGTGCTCCTGTAGAAGGGTGCAGTTTTCCTCTAAAGGTCCAGTGATGATGTGGAAAGGTCCGGTTTTCCTCTGGAATCCAGTGGAAAAAGGCTGCCTTGGTGTTTCAAATCTCCATTTTTATCTAGGTTAGGAAATGCTTTGCTCCTTTCCCTGGGTGGAGCATCTCCCAGTGGGATGATGTAATTTTATCAGTCATGCAGTGGGACTCAATGGCCCATTAACAGAAGATATTTTCCTGGAGGAAGGATGGGTTGTAGAAAAGATAAAGATCACTGCCCCACCTGGTTTCAACAGATGTTGATAGAATACATACTTTTGGTCACATCCTGTATTGCAACCTAAGACAGCCTCTTTTTTTTCCCCAAGGCTTTTCTAAAAATTTCTAAAACTTTAAATCTAAAACTTTTCCCAGCTGCAGGTTTTCTTTCCCGCTTATCTCCTTCTTCTCTTCTTGGTCTCCAGGCCAATGGATAGAATAGAATACTTGATAAAATAAGTTTTCAGAAATAGCTCTTATTCTTCATTAACCCTCTCTGGCTCACAGACCAGCTGTGAGTCTCTCAGAAGTTGTTTCTATTGAGTGGGGAAGGATCCAAATCCCAAGGAGTGCTTTCTCCACCCTGGTTTCAGTATAGGGAGCGAGGTGCTCCGAGGGGAGCAGGTCTAAGGGGAGTGATGTGGCCGTGTTTCACTGGTGAGGGCTCTCTCTGTGTGTGTCTCTCATGGGTGCTGTGCTGCTGTGTGTCCCCAGGAACGTTCGTGTCGGCGTTCACCGTGCTGTGCGGGGCGCGCACCGACCTCCCCGACCGGCACATGTGCTGCGTCTTCTGGCTGAACATCGCCGCCGCCCTCATCCAGATCCTCACCGCCATCGTCATGGTGGGCTGGATCATGAGCATCTTCTGGGGCATGGACATGGTCATTCTGGCAAGTAAGTACAGTGCACTCTCGCCCTCCTGACTCCTCCTCTCCGTGGCAAGGCTACTGGGTGCCGGATAATGTCCCTGCAAGCCACTGGGTAGGGTGGAAGAGCCACAGGATGGGCTCTGCAAGTCCACGAGAAACACTGTAGGCAGAGATATTGCTAGGAGGCAGTAGGAATGGGCCCTGTGACATACCTGGGAGAGCCTCCCATCCCATCACGTGGGTCAGGAATTTCCCTTTAGGAAATGAAATGTGCAGGAAGGGGGAGCACTGTGAACTCTGCTGTCTGGAGCCCCTTCTGCCCTGATCACATCCATTTGAACAAAGCCCTTTCTCCCTTGCAACTCCAGCTGCAAATCTGTGGTTAGTGAGACCTTCTTTCTAGGCTGGGCCAGAAAGTCCCTGGGGACTCTCCTGGGCCCTCCCCTTCCTCCCCAGGATACATTTACCCATTGTTTTAGAGTTTTTTCATGTTTCAGACCAAGTTCTTAGGCTGAGCCAGAAGTGTTTAGCTGCTCCTAGAATGACGTCTCATACACCTTTTGAGTTGACTAAAACATTAGTTTAAGGAAAGAAGAATCCTTTTTAAAATGTACATCATTTAAGTCACAAGTTAGTAGATACTACAAATCCAGAGCGCAGCCTCTGTAACTTTCATCTGATAGAGGCTTTCACTGGTCTAAAAGTTGTGTCATATCTCCTGTATCCTGGTGCAGAGGATTGAGATGACAACCTCGTCTCACCTCCAAAGCCAGAAGCAGCACAGAGCTCAGTGTGCTGGTGGCACCTGCAAGACCCCACTCCCTTTCCAGAGGCTGGCAGAGGCCACTGGGCAAGCCCTCAAACCAAACAGCTCTGAGATCTTTCAGACTGACAGGACAGGCAGTTCCCAAAGCAAGCCCTTCTCCCAGAGACCATCTTACCAGCAGCTTTTGCCTTTTGGTTTGAAGGGGCTCCACTTTGTCATCTCTGCTGATGACATCTGTGGCTGCACGACAGAGGGGGAGAGAGGATCTCAGGAAGTTGCCAGGAACCCTCCTAAAGACAAACTGGATGGAAAAAAAAAAAGGCAGAAAAGCAGTGCACATTTTCAGCTGCCAAACCCAGGGGTTAAACACTCTCACCAAACCACCTGCTAATTTCTGAGCCAGCTTCAGTTAAGGCAGTCCCCATGCAGAGCAAACGATGGGTATTAAAAACCTGAACAAAAGCAAAAGCTTTCCTCAGGATGAAGGCAGGACTGCTCTTTGCTGTACCCTGCAAACCAGCTACCACATTTCCTTCCAGATGTACCTGCAGAGCAGGATATTTCTGAGGCTAAGCTGTGAATTGGTGTGCACGTGTGATGTGTCTTTAGGACAAATCTGCCAGATTTGTAATGCCATAAGTGCATGCTCATAACCATAAACTCTTGTGCAGGTCGCTGTCTGGCAAGACCCCATTCTGCAGGTGTGGGGAGAGTCAGGAAAGCATCTGTCCCAATAGAGAACCACCACTGGAACTGTGACTTGCTTTGCTCCAAAGCCCTGCTCTCCAGCTAGAGGGGTTGGTGCTTAGGAGGGTCTTACTGGGAGGATCTTCTCAAGTTTCACTGTTGGGGAAGACCATACAGCTTGAAAGTGTCGCCCCAACACTTTCCCACATCTGGCTGGATTCCAGCAGTTTGGGAGGAAAAGGATGGATGGGCAGCATGTGATGGGAAAGCTCAGGCCAAGAGGTCCCCAAGCATAGCAGTATTTCATCCCTCTGGTGGTAGTAGAGAATGGCAAGAGGAGTCAATATGTCTTATGTTTCACCAGCAGCGTCTGACAAGCTGCAGCCCTTGGCAGTTTCTTGCCATCTCATTAAACAGCTGCCCTTAAGTTTACTTGCCATGCAGAGAAAGTAGTGGTTAAATGCAGCAGCTCTTGGTTGATGAAGAAGAGAAGGCTTAATAAAAACAAAGAAGAAAGTGATTGATTGCTCTTATCTGGATCAAGCAGCCCTGTCAGACCCAAAGTGGTTGGTTCTTGTTATCATATTTAAAAAAATAATAGTAACTTAAGAAGGAATCCATGTTTCAAATGTAAGAAGTAAGATATTTCATTTAAGAGCACTGCCAATTTGCTTTGGCTGGGTTTTGTTTGCATGCAAACCACTGGATGCACTGGACAGAAACTGTACACCACTGCAGCTTGAATCTGCATGCAGGTGGGAAATAGTTAAAAAGAGTGAAACTACTGCCCACCTCTAGTCCCCTTGCCTTGAAATGGTCGATCCCACGTGTCCCTGTGAGGGTGCCAGACTATTTGGATGAGCTAGAGGCAGGACACAGCAGGTCCCATCTAAGCTGGTGAGGGCTGGCCGTGAGGAGGAGGGTGGGAAGCAGCTGAGGGTCAGGAACTCTGCTCAGGCTTTCCCTAAGGGATAATCACCTCACTCCCTGGATATGGGCCTGCTTCTCTGTTAGCTGGTAGAGAGTTGGGAAGGAGTTAGAACCATAGAATCATAAAATCGCTGAGGTTGGAAAGAACCTCCAAAATCATTGAGTCCAAGTCTGAAGCCATCACCATGGTGTCCACCACTGAACCATGTTCCCCAAGTGCCACATCCACATGCCTTTTGAACAGGAGGCTCCTTGAAGCTTTTCATCTTCTAGTGCTATTTCCCAGGCATGGAAAGGAGGAATCTGGTCTGAGGATAATGGTATACTGTCCTTAATGAGGGAAAAACGAGAAGAATTATAGGCCAATCAGGTATACTTCAATTTCTGGAAGAAGTAATCAAGTAAGTGACTCACATGCATTTAGAAAATAAAAAACACCCCCACAAAGTCACCGTCCAGAATGAGCTGTGTCAGGCTGGCTTGATTCCCTTTGATGGCAGAAGAATTAATTTCGTGTGAGGAGGCAGCAGTCAGCCATCCCTCCCAGCCTTCAGATGCTGACCTTGTCTCACACAGCGTTCCTGCCAGCAAGCCAGGGGGATGTGGCCTGCATGAAAATGCACTTGAGAACTTTCCTCTAAATCGATTTCCCTGACCTGGGAGGAGATAAAGAGAGGTGTGTTGAAAGGTCCCTCCTGAACCCAGCTCTGCTGTATTTTCATCTCCAGTATTTTCATTTGTGGCTTGAGGCTGGGCTGGAGGAGAGCTCCCCAGTGCACACCAGCACTGCAGGCACAGCCAGGGCAGCGCCAGGATCCACGCCAAGCAAAGACATGGTCTGCAAACAGCAAGTGCTGCTCAGCAGGGACAAGCCTAAGATTCTACAGAAGGATTTATGGACATTATGCATAAATACACCCAAGGGAACAACTTGTTTTTCAGGGAAGGACATGGTGGCTGCAGTGAGTCACAAGTGGCTGCAGAGGGAACAAACGCCACACGGGCAGGTGGGAGCAGAGCTTGTAGGGCTTTCACTGATCCCCACCACCTTTCTCTGCATGCACAAAGCTGTGGTGAGGCTTGTGACCAACTCTGGAGGCTGTAGTTCAAGTGGAAAAGCTGGAGAGAGTCCAGAGAGCCATAAGACAGTAGTTAGTGATGAAGGTGTTCAGCGGTCTAGTAAATGTGAGAGGGCAGCAGTTCAGCCTAAGACAGACTTAAATAACTCCAGGAAGGACCTGTGTGGAAATTAGAAGAAATTTTTCCTCCAGTAAGGTCAAAATGCAGCAGAGGTGGCATGGCAGGATCTGCTCTCTGTCCCTGGAAGACTCCAAGAGTGGGTAGACCCATGTCTGTCAGGGACAATGTGGGACACAGCAAGAGACTGACTGACCTGGGGATCCTGTCCAACTCTCACCTCCTCTAGGGTGCCCTTTAGTGAGGTAATATCCCAGAAGGGAGATAAATTAAATGCAGTTTTGCTGTCACACTTAATTATTTTTGGCAGCACCACAGCACAGGGTATTTTCTCTGCTAACTTAAACTGCCAGCTGGCCCCATTGGACACCAGAGATATCTTCTTTAAGCAGCCATATGGCTTTGGGAGCTGTCCCCTGCTGTACCTACGGTCTGAAGGCAAAGGTAGAATTACAAGGGAGAACTTAATTCTTAATTCTGCAAAAAAAACCAGCTCTGAGGGGACGAGGCACAGAGCTGAGGCAAACCAGAGCTGATTAGCTGGCCAAGCCAAGTGGAAAAGAAGCCTCCTAAGGCTTTCCAGGCAAAGCTCCCTCAACTACAGGCACGCCTTGTCCCCAGCCCACACCTCCATTAGCCCCACGGTGCGGAATGAGCACAGTGGAATGGCCTTTCCAGGAAATCCCTGCCTGCTCAGAGCCTGTATCAAAGGTTCTGTGCCATTTCTTGACAGAAACGCCAGAGGAATGACATAGTAATGTCACACTGATGTGGCACAGGGGACACAAGTCAGGGACTGTTTGTCCAGGCATTGTTTTGCCAGTGATGAATGCAGCCCAGGAGTCAAGCCTGGTTTCTGGAGGACGCCCTCCCTGAGCTCTCAGCCCCTGAATGAACACTTTGCTGCACCGTCGCTCTCGGGATCACTGCATGGAGACCTCGGCTGGCTCTCGGGGCTGATTGCCAGCCAGCAGTGAGAACTCACCTGTGACCATGCCATCCTTGCCACTCCTTTGCTCGTTACTCTGTTCACACCTGCCAGGAGCAGCAGCAGACGATTGCACAGCCGCTGTACGCTCGGGCTCCGAGGGAAAGCATCACTGAGCCTCTCTGCTCTGCAGGGCCCCTGCAGGGGCAGCTAACACAGCTCGCCTGGGAAGGAAAGGGGAGCAGGAGATCCAAAACAACCACTAACACTTCATGAGATGAAGAAAATTCCAAGGACAAATTGCCTGCTTAGACCCATTACACTTTTTAAAACAATCTAAAAAGAGCTGTCCCCCAAACTAAGCCTGAGGAAAATAGTTAAATTTTTTTGCAGTTTCCTGCCAAACGCAGTGGTGGGGCAAGTTCTTAAAACATTGGAGGAATATTAAATAGCACCAGTGTTTGCAGCACCCAGACAGGCTGAGGCATGCTGTGGTTGTGAGTTACCTGTGGGCACAAGCAAACTGAGCAGGGAAGCTGCCAAAAACTCTCCAGGTGTAGTTTTCCCAACTCTGGGACTGTGAATGCCGTGAGCCCTTTGGTACACTGTGATGTCTTGTTTGATGCCTTCCTGCAGTGGCTCCCCTTCAGACAAATTCCAATGGCACAGAGGAGAGAGTTTCTGGGAGCATTGCTCAGAGGTGTTAGCCCATCCAGCCTGTCCGGCTCGGGGATGGAAAAGCAGATGAGGATTCCCCCGTCGTCTTTAAACAGGAGTCCCAAATGAAATGATCCACTTCAAGTACAAGGACTGTAAGAACTGTTTAGCCCTGGTGTGAATGTCTGATGGGAGAGCAGCTGGTCTCTGTTTACTCTGCAGCCTTGGTTTGTTCATTCTCTTCTGGTTCTCCGTGTGTTTCAGATATATCGTCTACAGTTACATTTCTCCCTCTCTCTTTCTTTCATGTTGCTTTGCCTCCTTTTGTTCACCATCAAAGTCTCACAAGGTAAGTTTGTTTCTGTTCTTCCTCCTCCTCACGCCCCGAGGCAGTTTCCCGTGGAGAGCAGCGAGCATCGGTCGGGACAGGACATCTGGAATTCACTTTGGCCAGTGTTGCCCACTCCCAGCCCAAGTCCAGCCGTGTTCCTTTACATGTGTGTGTGTCCCACTGTCTCTGTGCCTGTCCTGTGGCCGCACAGCCCCAGGGATGCTGAAAGTCTTCACACAGCACTGAAATGCCCCGGGGGATGCCCCAAGGGCACCCTTGGAGCAGAGTAGGAACCAGCATTGAGAACATCCTGAAGCTACCCTCTGCATCAACCCTGGGTTCTTTTTGCCTCAATCTTACATGCAATGGTTTACAGAAGTGCAATTTCAGGTGAACTTGATTAAATCAGTGCCTTTGTGCACAGGCCCACTTAATCCTGAACCCAGAGCTGTCTGTTCTACAGAAGTGCACCTCAATTTTATTGCAGGAATATTAATGTAAAGCTGCTTAATACAGATCATCTATTCCTATGCAAGAAATGCAATATCTATTTTCTCATATAAGCTATTTGATAAGTCTGAAGTACTGTAACAAGCAAGTTTATCATAGGGCAGGTCATTTTTTGTTTTGTGGTCATGTAAAGAGACAGGCTTGGCCACTGTCACTTCCTTCCAGCCAGTTTCAGCACTGATAGCCAGACTGAAAGGATTTCTCAATCTTAATTTTCTTGTATCTTAGTAAAAGGCATGGCTGTACAGATAAGTTACTCTTACTTTAGCTAAAGATTTAAGGCAGGCTCCACCTTTCTGGTCCATAGGATTATTTGTTTGGTTTTTTTTAACTCTGCTCCCCAAACAAATTGAACTGATGCCATAGACAAGCCCAAATTACAAGTTTCCAGCCAGCTCACCTTGCCTTCAGAACTGACTCACAATTAAAACATAAATGCATGTGAAATCATCATTTTACCCCCTAGAAAAAGCTGTTTGAAAGAGATGAGAGTCCTTCTGTTCAGCTGCACACAATAGGCAGAAATTCAGTTAAGTGTCATTATTCTGTCCCTTGTGCTTGTTTAACAGCAGGAGATCCAGGCTGCCAAACCTGGGCAAATGTGTGGATTTTTTTCAAAGTACAGCAAAGTTCATTCGCTGGAGTCAATTCTTGGTTCAGAAAAAAGTCCCTTAAAGGTAGGGGTTCTGGCACCTGCTGGTATTTTGTATTCAGCTTTTATAAGCTGTACAAAAGCCTAACATAAGTGTTAGAAAGAAATATTACAAAGCATAAATGGAAAAGTGTTTGAAAAGTTAAGCATTCTTCTGAGATATGAAATTTCAGACTTATTTGAAATTCAAAATAGAAAAATGACAGGCTACTTGTGTTATTTAAGCTAAGGAAAAAAAAACCCTCCAGATTTAAAAAAGTTTTTCGGTTGAAAGATCTTCACTGTGGCAGGCACTGCAAGAAAGGACAATTTGCTTCTTTAGTGAGGAAATTTTTTGCATTGAGACAGTCAGAATAACAAGCCCAGCTTCTCTTGAAAGGAAAGTGAGGAAAGCTTCTGGCACAGTCATTGGAATTGTTTAGGAAAGCATTAAAAAATCCAGTATTTTTCTCATCATCCTCTACTAGCATAGGAGCTGCAGGTGCTCACCTATTGCTCTTCCCTGCCCTAGTCCCCCCAGGGAATGAAGCTGTCCCCTCTGGGATTAGCAGCCTGCCCCCAGCCGCTGTGTGTAGGACAATAAATAATCTGGGGCCCCAGGACCCCAAGGAGCTGTGACAAGCAGCAGGACTGGCTGCCGGAGCCCTTGCAACATCCACGTGGCTGCAACACAGTGGGGACCTCAGGGGCTTTGCTGTCTTGGTTGGGAAGTGCATCAAACCTCATGGCCACAGGAAGAGGAAAGGACAGGAAGGAACAGGGATCCAGGCAGTTTCCTTGGTTTTGCTGCTGAAAAGATCAATTTCCTCCAGGCCCACTGGATGGCTGCTGTGCCCTAACAAAAGCACCTGTAATTCTGCTGGGCTGGAGCAAAGCAAGCGCAGAACCAGGCAGTGAGAATATTATTAGAGGCACCCCAAGGTCTGTGTTTGACATGTCAGCCTGTGATTGAAGGCATTCCCCTTCTCCTCCCAGAGGTGTTTGTTCACCTGTGCAAACTGCAGCGCAAATTGTTTGCTGCTGGGCAGCGCCGTCAGCAAGAGCCAGCATGGGAACAAAAAGATGGATAGAGGAAACCAACCTCCTCCTACCTGGCAGTGCTCTGGGAGCACGAGGTTCAAACACAAGGAGATCCCAAGGAGAGATGTGTGTTGGATGCACGACCTACCAGGGCAGTGCTTGGGAACAGCCGTGTCTCTGGAGCTGGATACAAGGGCATCCATTTCCCCTGCACTGCAGAAAAACACACTCCATAAAAACTTCAGGTTATTGGGCTGTACCTGCTGTGCCTTTACAGTCTCTTCAAGCAGAGGTGCCTGTGCCCGTGCCAGGCTGGTGGCAGGCAGGTGCCAGAGAGCAGGGCTGGCTGCCAGCATCCAGGTGGCTGTGCCCAGGAAGGTGGCATCACCAGGCAGCTGTTGGCTAAAGCAGGGCAGGGGGCTGCCCTGGGCAGCCTGGCCACGAGGGGGAATGTGGCAGCGCTCCCGTTTTCCCACGTGGTTTTTGCCACTCCTGGTAAGCCAGGCTCGTGGTTTGCTTGAGCCTCGCCGAGGGTCTTCATTTGGAATTAACTCTAATCATGTTCCCTTCCCCTCCCTCCTCACAGGCTACAAGGAACAGGGGATCCCACAGCAGCTGTAGTGGCTGGGACAAGTATGGTCAGAGGAACACGGCGAGAGATTTCCTTTGGCAGCCGTGGGCCACGGACCTTTTCATTACCCTTTGTCTCTCTTCTTGTCCCTTTTGTTTTGTCTCCTTGTGTCTGCCCGGTTCACTGCCCGTCCAGCGGAGCGGAGATGCAGAGCAGCCGGCGCAGACTTGCACTGATGCCCCTGAGCAGTGGAGATGAGGCAAGCACGGCTTGGCTTAGGACTGGTCCCGGCCAGCACACGAGGAGGACGAAGGTGCCAGGACAAGGAAACACCCCTGGCAAAGGTGGCACCTGGGCAGGCAGCTGAACCAAGGGAGGGGGAGATGCTGCTTTCCCTCTGCTCCCAGGGGGAGGTCGCTGAAGATGTTTTGCCTCCTTTTTACGCTCGCTGTTAAAGGACGCCGGCTGTGAACATCAGAATGCCAAGGAGCTATTCATAGATATATGTACATGATGTAAAAGCAAACCAGTGGTACTTTCCTCCTGCCCTGAGATTCCATCCGTGACTGCTTTGCAGTAGTGGAGGGTCCAGCCCAGCCCCCTCTGCTGTCTGTGTATATATGATGTTCACTGAAGCTCTGTCCCCACAGATGTCCTGAGAAACGTGCTTGCTGTAAATCGTATTGTACTGCTGAAATGACTCGGGCCATCCCCTGCTTCCATCCACTGCCACCATGCAAAGACCAGAGCTCCCACTGGCCCAGGGGACACTTTTCCTAGCACAGGACTGGTGTCCTGCAGCACCTCACCTCTAGGGCAGCAAGTACAGCCTCGTGCTGCCAAAAGCCTCTTGTATAAAACAATACTGGGGGAGCCAAAGAACAAGACTTTTCCTGCCCCTGGAAGGGACTTGCTGGCAGTGTCTCCGTGCTTTGGAAACGGATCCCCTTAGAGCGCGACGAGTGCTCTTGGCTGAAGCAGTGTCCCAGCTCCACTTCCCAAGGTAAGTGTCCAAAGCTCCAGGATCACATCCTGATACTGGCCAGCTGCTTGGGAGCTGTTATGGTTGGAAGGCCCGTGGCCAAACGGGGTAGGGCTGTGATTTCACGGCTTGAACAAGATGTGCAGAGTTGCTGTGGCCACAGGTGTAATGATCCCTCTGATCACAGCCGGGCGAGAGGAGCTCGGCTTGGTGTCAGCACCTGAATGCTTTTCCACTCCAAAAAGATGGCAGGAGGAGCCCTGCTGAAAGAGGGCAAAGCCAGGCTGCTCACATGCAGGGAGGGCCCTTCCAGCCAGAGGAGTTTCACACAAACCCACTGCCAAAACTGGGAGCCACCCCATTCCCAGCCCACTGCTCCTGCCGAGAGGCAGATGGTGAGAAAGGGATGGCAGCAAACCCCCCTGCCCTACAAGTGTCCACCCTCTCCTGGTATGATGGTCTGCTTTTAACAAAGGTTTTTATTTTTCATGCAGAACAGGTCCTGTCAGCTAAAATAGCTCCTGTTGTAAAGAGAGCTGGTGTGTCAAAAAGCAGCAAGTGCCCCCAAGCTGCCCAGCAAGGGTGGAGGAGAGCCCTGTGCTGGGCAGGGCACCTGTCAGTGATCCCAGAGAGAGCTGCTGGGGTAGGAAGCTCCTTTGGTGTTTTGGTGCAAACCTCTGGCTTAGCCTTCCCACAGCCTCTGCTGTTCTCCTGATGCCTGGACACTGGATTTAATGCAACACTTCTCTTCCCAGGAAGTTTTCTCCCTGCCCAATGCCTGTACTGCATTGTGAGCCCACAGCCTGTGGAAAGCAGGCATCAGTACCTCTTTGCTCTCCCAGCTCAGCACATCCTTCTTCAGGGCTAAGGACAAGCATCCACAGTCCCAACTAACTTGTGGTGGGACAGGACTTCTCCAAACTATGCTTGTTTATCCAGTGCAGGCATCAAAAGGGATGACAGACATTTTTCACTTCACCCTTCCATGGCTGTGCACTATAAAAAGCTTTGGGCTGTTGGAACAGGAGAAAGGGGCAGAGAGTTAGGAGCCTTGGGAGCACCAGCTTTCACTGTGAAGATGCTGGCTAAAGCATTTCCTCAGATCTCAGGATCTCAGCAGTCTTAATTGGAAACAACAACAACAAAAAATATATAGACAAGGATGTAAATTCATAACGCAAACAATTAATTGTGTATTTTACCAAGCCAGACTTCAGGCAGGGCAGTGTATTTGTACAGCTTGCAGTATACAGTAAGGAAAAATGACAGGCAGAAGCATAGGAATAACTCAGGCTGCAATTCTCTTGCCTCACACCCTAAACTGCTGCTCGTGCTGCTGTGCTGGATAGACAGAAGCAGGTATTTAGTCACTACCCTGTATCCAAACAGGGATGCTGAGCTCAATTTCCTGGGCTGCTGCACAGAAAGTGAGGATCATGACATGATGCAGACAGGAAAACTTTGCATTTGTCTTTTAGAGGAAAAGAGATGAAAAAACATCAGTTTTTAGAGTGACACAAGCCACACAACAGAGGCAGCAGAGGAGCCAAGGTTTCCTTGGAAGAAAAGTACCAGTTGGTGCTCCTCATTATCCCAGGGCTGGAAGCTCAAGAGGAGAAGCAGCACAGTTATCCTGCCAGAATGCCAGGCTGCAGTGAGCCACAGTTACTTTGCTTTGCCAGGGAGAGACTTGGAGGACAGCAGCTGCTGGAGAAAACCTATCAAGCAGGTCAGTGGTGGAAAACCCAAGAACCATCTGGAATCTGCATTAAAGCCAGGGGGTGAGCTCCTCAAGATTACCACTCCCACAACGATGGCCAAAAGAATTTCTGCTCCCAACATGCAACAATTTCAAGTGTCTTTGTCCATTTCTACCAAAGGGACTGTGCTGTGGCATCTGCAGCTCTGTGGCTTGCTGGGCTGTACAGGTGTTACAGAACTGAGTTTCAGCATTTCCTGCAAGGCAGACCATCTCTGCTTCTCCATTTCCCACCTGGGAAAATAAGGGTTAAATAGGATCCTAACCAGTAGCAAACAGGGAATCTGTAGCACATCTGGAAAACACCTTCACAAGCTGCTGCTGTCATCAGTGAGAACTCTTTTTTTGAGATCTCTAACTAGCCCTGAAGCCACCCAAACCACTTGCTTGCTCAGCTGCAGCGAGTGCAATGACAAAGAGCAATGGTTACCACTCGCCTTTGCCAAAACAGAATGGCTGGGTCCAGTGCAAGCACCAAACACTGCCTAAGCATCGAGTTAGTTGTGCTGTGGTGTCAGGATGGGAGTGCAGGAGCCCCTGCAGACATGAATAACAGGCCATGGATAAAAGGAACTAGGCAGGCAAAACCTTTGGGTGCAGAAACTCTGAAACAGGAGCAGCAAGCATGGCTTAACATCTTCTGGTGCCTGTGAAGTTCGGTCCACTTTTAGAAGGTGGATTTAAATATGTAGTGGACAGGCAGCACAAGAAGCCTCAGGCTGGGGAAGATTAAACCAGCTGACATTTTCACTGGCCCTGAACTGCCAAAGTCACATCTCCTGTGGCATCAGATGTCAGATCAGCAGCAGATGCCCCATCCTAGAGACCCAGCACCTGCACAAAAGCCCCCCTGGGAACAAAAAGGGACAGAATAAGCTCCTCATCAGGGTTTTGCTGACTTTTTGGGCCACATTTGGTGGTGTCTGTCTCTATCCTCTAGTGAGGATGGGAGAATTGGATTGGCTGGGAAAGGATTGAATGGAAATGCTGCCCTCCCTGGGATGGCTGCAGGTCTCTGAGAGCATCACTTTGTTAGGTCAAGGTGCTGTCTGCATTTATTGCAGAGGGAGTTTGGTACTGCAGTGCAGCACTGCACAGACCAGGTGGGGATTTATAATTTACTTTGTTTTTTACTCTGTAAAATTTTTTATCTTTGACCTTACTGAATTGGTAAAGACAAGAAGACACTCAATGCACCACTTCAGAGGCTCTGAAATCTGTCAAGTGACACCCAGGACAAAAAGCTTTATTTTTGCCTATTGTGGTGATTTGCTTAATTGATTTTAATTAGAAGTAGACAGTTTCCCACTCTGTGCTTTAGGACAGGAGCCACATTATAGATTGGCCTTGCTACCACGCAGCAAGCATCAAATTGCATTTTCCCCAAGGCTGTCCTGTGGTAGTAATAACAATGATAAATCCTTCTGCTTTTTCCAATAGCCCTGAATAAAACTAGCACTGCCAAGCTCCCCCCAGCCCAGGTGTGAGCAGCAGCCTGCTCTGAGACAATGGTGAGCCCCTCACCTTGGCTTCAGGTCACCCCATGGCAAGTCGTGGGGAGCTGTGGGGAGCTCAGAGACTGAGGCCAGGGCAGGGCTATGGTCACCAGGGGGTTCTGCTCATCCTATGTTTAGTGTCACACCCTCCACTATGACTTGGTTTTCCTCCTCTCACAAGAGGTCAGAGTTCTGTGGGCAGCTGGAGGGATGTGCATGGTGCCCACAGTCCAGGCACTGACAAGAAGAGCCACGCTGTGAAGACACAGGTAAAATTTGGAGCGTTCCCCCATCAACAATTCCTTTCTTTCTCTTTAGGGTAAAATTTACCACTCAGTGCTTTGGCACCTCTTTCTGAAGCATTGCAGAGGGGACATCAACTCCACCTCCACCGGGGCTGGATAACTCCCCTCCCTCCCGTGGGAGCTGTGCCAGGACCAGCTTTGAACCAGCCCAACCTCCTCGGCAGCACAGCCAGAGGGCACAGACCCAGGCTCTTCCTCTGGTCCAGCGTGCACGGCCCCAGCTATCCCAGCACCATCACCTGCTTTATAAATGTAGATGTTTGACATGCGAGTTTTACAGCTAAAGAGTGATCATGGGTAACAGAGAATAAACCAAGCTGCTTCACCCCCATCTGCCAGCAACACAGAATTTTCTGCTGCTCCTCTCTGATTGTGAAAACCAGGTTTCTAAAAATAAACAAAACAAAACAACAAACCAACAACAACAAAAAACAAAACCAAAAACTAAAACAAAACAAAACAAAAAAAGGGCTTCAATGAAATAATTTCTTGGTACTTGAACCAGCTGGGCTAAACAACTGATTGACTACTCATTGGAAAGCAATTCCATGTAGGAACCAACCCAGTCAAAAACCAACTTCATTCTGGGTCAGCCCAGAATGCAATGCAGGGCATAGCACCATTTTTCCAAGTTCACTGGTATTGCCAAATCCATATTTACCATGGAAAAGGGGCTTTAGCAGGTAACCCCCACCCTCCCAGCCTTTTGCCTGCTTGGCTGTACTTGCTGCAGGGGCTCAGCACTGCTCTGAGCTGTGGCAAGCACAGCTGGGAAGGTCGGTGGGGCTTTGTGCTGGGAGCAGCTCTGGCACACACAGCCATGGGGTCAGGAGTGTCAGATGTGAGGTGGCTCCATCTGTGCCACACCCCGAGCTTCCCAAGGCACAAAGCTGCACGTTCCTCCCTGAGTGCACTGACTGTCACACATTTTATTAGAGACCTTCCAGTTCTGCTGGAAAGTGCCCCTTAAGTCTTGCTATGAGTGTTGTGTTGAGCTCTGTAAACAGGAAGCTGAGGCTTACAGTCCCAGTATTCTTCAGAGGCCTGTTTTAATCCTTGCCTCCTGCTTATTCTGGGATGACCCTGCAGTTCACACACATGCATATGCTCCAGGCAGGAGCTACCCAGAGCAAACTGCATCCACTGCAAGACACCAACAAGAGCTCCTTGGCATCTAAACCCCAGGTACAAGGAGACCCTGGCTAGATCTGACATTCCTCCCAGGAAAAAGCAATGTCTTCTCCTGCAGACTTGCTAACCATGGTGTGGAAACTCAGCCCTGTATTTTCCAGCTGACTTTGCTTCATGCTCACACACATGATGCACTTTGAAGCAGTGCTGCAATTCATTTCCCAAACTGGCACTCAGCATTCCCACCCCACTGTGGGAGCAGCATGGTGCAAAACCCCAGGTCACAGTGGCACCATCTGAACGAGGGTTAATTACAGTGAATCCCACCAGAGCTCATGCTACCCACAACACATCCTTCCTCTTCTGGTCATCTGTATAAATAACTAAGCCAGGCTAGAAGTCAAGTCCTACTTCTCTTGCACCCACCCAACCAGCCAGAGGGAAGAAACAACGCCCTGTCCCCACTGCTGGAATGGTGCAGTGGGAAGTGAAGGCTTTGTTCTGGCTCAAAAATGGCAAAAGCCAGAGTAGCTCAATCCATCTTTCAGCTCTGAGAATGCTTTCAACAGGCAGGTGAAAGGGAATGGCAAATTTTGGTTTGGGATCAAAACGGGCTCGCCTCTGCCAGCAGTGCCTGGAGGTGATGGCAGTGCTCCCCCAGACACCCAGCAAGTGATCCCACCCTGACCCACACCCCTCCTTCACCCCCCACACACCCACACAGGCACTGCTCCCAAGGCTGGGAAGGGGGATCGTTGGCTCAAGTCTGTGTTCTCCTTGGTTTTGGCCATGCATGGATACATCAGATTTTCCACCCTAGGAAGGAGAGAGCAGGGGCCTGCCCACTTGTGCTGTTTGCACCTTGCTGCTGCCCACCTTTCATTACTGGAGCCCAAACTGAGGGGTTGCAGAGGACCATTTGTATGCCTATTTATATCACCAAGTATTGGATTGTGACTTCTTGTGTTTTGATACTGTGGATATTTTTTTTAAAGTTAAATATATTCTATTGCTGGACAGCTGGAATGAAATGCAGTCTCTTTATGTCACCTGAAGAAACCTCTTCATCCCTGATTCCAAATGGGTTCTCGTTCTCCCACCAGCAAGGTGATGGAGAGCATCCAGCAGACACCAGCCCACATCCCCCGAGGAGAGGAGGCAGGGCCCAGGGCATGGCTTCCTTAAGGAATTCTTGAGCAGAAACTTCCAGAGGAGCAGAAAGCTGGTGAGGAGCCTCACCCAAATCTCTGGAATGGAGACAAGGGAGGGGAAAAAGCCACCCTGTGTTCCCTTGTGCACATGCCTACCAGCAATCCTTCTTGACTGGGTTTTGTTTGCAATTTTAACATTTTAATATGACTCCAGGTGCATTCTCCCTGTTCCCGGTGAGAGAACAGCCCACGTGCTGTCAGGAGCTTGGCCACAGGCACCTGAGCAGAGATGAGCAGCTGGCAGAGCCTCCCCACGAAAGGCAGCTCTGCTGCAAGGGCCAGCAGCTTGTCAAAACAGCTGCACATTTCAGCCATCCACGCTCCATGCTGCTCCTGTGATGTACAGTGCCACAAAATCCACTACACTGTGCGTAGGGAAATACGTGGGAGATCTCAGCTGGATCAGGCGGCCAAACTCAGAGTTGGTGCAAGGCCAGCAAGGAGGGTCTTCTCACATCCCATGGCTTTGAGGGGTCTGGGAGGTGGGGCAGAAGCTCCTTTCACTTGCTGTATGTTTCTATTCAGGCTTCAGCCCCCAGCAGGGGAAGCACTTTGGGATGAAAACTGATATATAATAGTATGATACTATTAATACACCCATGCAGACACACCAGCACGTGGCAAACCCACAAGAGAGACCTGGAATAATTATCTTAAAGAGATTTCTTTAACACCCTGCTTGCTAATGGAACCATTTCAGAAGGAGAAGAGGAAAATTAGCAATAAACCACACAAAAGCAAAGTGAAAAACTGGAGCTTGGTGAAGGCAGATGAGACACAGGGAAAACCTTCCTGCTGCATTTCTGGGCACCCCCTTGCCCAGCCACCCACCTCCTCCACACTGTAGCCCAAGGGGAGGCCCACAGCCACCAGACACCTCACCCTCACTTCAGGGGTGAACTGGCTCACCCCCCAACACAGAGCAGAGCCAGCTCAGGTGCCCTCAGAGCACAGCACAGCCCTTGCTGTCACTCCTCTGTGCAGCACAGCAGTGTGGGTCCAAGGAAACTCCCTTTCCAGCAACTGATGCCTGGAAAGGGTGACCTGGAACAGAGAGTAGGCAGAGCAAAAGGAATAAGACAGGTATTTATTGAAAGGATACACCTTGGGCAGTGCAAGAGCCTGGCTGGGGCTACACCCAAATCAAATCCAAGATGGAGCCCAGCCATGAGTTTTTACACTTTTATAATTTTTGTTTCCTCTACATACTGGGGTCAATTGTCCAACCACAGTCCCAGGCTGTGAAGTCTCAGCTCCCTGGCTTGTCTCCTTTCCCTCGTTGTCGTTTTTGCTTTTTGGGTAATGGGTGTCCTTGGTTCTCTAGCTGGGAAGGGGCTGGTCTGTCCAACCACCCTGCAAACAGAACTTACTAACACCTAACATGAAGTTTCAGAGTTACACATTAAGCAGCAGAGAATCTCAAAAATATAAAAGCTAAAACCCAAGGCATCACAACCACCACACAACAGGGACAATTCCCTCCCTCTCCACTTGCAGCCTCCCCAAACTAACTCACCTCCTTACAGCTGCCATACACCTGTGGGATACATGCACTCCTGCAGCCTCATAGGGCTGCAGCCACAGCATCAACACCACCCCCAGGGTGATGGGGATCAGCTGTGACTTCCTGCATGCTCCAGAGCAATCAGTGTAGTCAGGTGAGCTTTGCATCAGGCCATCCAGGAGAGTTTGGGCTGTTGGCTGCTATAACACTGGTGGGGCAAAAGCAGCTTGTGCAGGAGGGCTGGGGTCAGTCATGGCTTCACCCCAAAAGGGTGTCAGGGTTTGCCCACCAGCAGCTCTCAATGTTGGCCGTGCAGAGACATGGAAATACCACTTGGATATTGGATCATTTAGAAAAGCATAATTTCAACTGTGTTCTGTTTAAACTAGCCTGAACAACCATTTAAAAAAAATTAAGCTTTGCAGAGTCCATGCAGAAGAGGGTTATTGCAGGGTATGCATGTACTATCTCTAAATCTCAAAGTCATGCAGTCATGAGAAGGTAGCACCTAATCCTAGGAGGTAATATTACAATTACAGGCTATTTCAGAGCTTGTTTCCACAGGAAATCTGCAGCCCTGTGGAAGAAGATGTGAGCTGCAAGACTGGCAGGAGTGTACGCTTATGTCTAGGGCACACTAAACATTGTGCTACCAGAGATGTGAAGGGAGGTTGTGGGTTTTTAAGGGACAGGTAGGTCTTGTTTCCAGGCCAGCCACATGACTGCCAAATTCTGTTTATTAAAAGGCCCACATGCTGCTGAGCAGCCTGGGCAGCCACTGTCTCTGCAGAGACAATGTGTAAGTACCCTGGCATGCTCAGAATTCTGGAACCCGCCCTGCTGGAACCTCTGCCCCCCAAAGCAGCCACTGTCACTGCCTGTGTGACCCAACAGCCACTGTCACTGCCTGTCCCACCCGTGGCCAAAGGATACAATGAGTTCAGAGGATGGGATGGCACCAACCTGCCCTGGGGATGCTCCCTGGGCAGCAGCGCTGTGGGCTGTACCATGCTGGCACACAAGCACTCAAGGGACATCCTCTCTGACCCTTAATGATCCCCCTGTAAACCACAGGGCCTGTGAGCCTTCCTGAAAAGCCATTTCCCATGGGAAAAGCAGCTGGGCATGTTTGAAGTGCCTGCCTGGGGCTGATGAACGGTGGGAGGAAGCACGTGTCACCCCGCAGAGCCCACCCACGGGTCCTGCCATCTCCCTTCCTTGTTCTGGAGGCATAAAAATGGATGAAGCATGAATTTAGCACTAGAAAAAGATACCACGCTGCCACTGAGAAATGTTTTTCAGCCACGGATCCTTTACAAATGGGGAAACATAGCTGTAGCATCTCCATCTTGCTACTACAGACTCCTGCTGCTTTTTCTTCTCACATTCTCTTCTCTGAGCCAACCCTCGCTGCTGCAAGAGAAGCAGTTCTCTGTGTGTGTGTGTGTCCCTGCAGAAGTCATGGGGTTTCTGCCATGGAAAGCAGCATGTAAACAATCTTGCAGCAAAAGCCCCTTCTGACACAGAGGTCAGTCAGTAGAAATTAAAGTATTTGGTTTTGTTTCCTGGCTCTGGTCAGATGTTTGAGTAAAGAATTTTGTGCCTCTATTTCTCTTTGTGCTCCTTTTTCCTGGTGGTTTCAAGTCTTAAGGTTCTACATTAGGGAAAGTGTGTTTGAACACCCTGGCACCAGGCAATGTGGAGAGGGGAGAGCTGGCCCCAGGTCTTGCAGGTCTGACATTTTTAATAAAACAAGTGGTAGGAGGCACAAACTCCCAACAAACAGAAAGCACCAGCCCCAAGCAGTGCCAGAAGTAGGATGAGCAGCTGGGGCCCCAAAAATTTCCAGTTTCCTCCAGAGTTGACTCAAATAGGATTCACTCAGCAGTCTCCTCCATGGGCTTTCTTCTAAGTAGCACTAGCAGCAGCTCTCCTGTGTTCTCTGGCTGTTCCAGGGGAGAAGCACAGTTTCATCCTGGAGAGAAGCAGGAACTACTAAGACAGGCCTCCTAAGGGTGGGAAGAGAATGCCTGAATGTGTAAAAGCAGCTGCAGCCCCCAGGGCATCCCCCAGAGCAGTAAATCCCCACATAAAGCCTTTCTTGCTGGAGGCATCACTTGCAGGACATGGCAGAGCTGTGTTCACAGCCCCACTCTGGGGGGGTGAAGTGTGGGCCTGGGCATGGCAGGTCATCCCTGGGACCCCTGGCACTGCAGGAGCAGTGTGTGACCACTTTCATGGACTTCCAACTACATGGCAAAAGATGAACCAAGCCAGCTGACACTATAGCAGGGCCCTTCCCACTTCTCTCATTTCCCAGAAGTTTCTAGATTTTTATTTTTTACACTTCACAATTACAAAAAAAAAAAAAAAAAAAAAAAAAAAAAAAAAAAAAAAAAAAAGTATTTTTTTAAGGGCAGGGAAGTGAACAAAACGCAGACTCAAATGAGAGTGTGAGTGGGAAAGCTGTTCCCCAGGGGACAGAGGCTGGGGCTGCAGGGGGGCTCCAACTCTGGAGTGGCACAGGGAGGAGAGACCTCTCACCCCCAGAACCGCCCAGGAAGGAGAAGCGGGCAGCAGGAATCCTTCAACCCCTGCCCTGCTCAGGCTGGCTCCGGGATGGAGCCGCTGCTAGAACGGGCATTTATTAATTTTAACGACCTCCCCAGCTCCTAGTGGGAAAGCCAAATCCTAAAAGTGCCGAGGGTGGAGGAAAAGCCTCAAAGCAGCGGCGCCCGGGGCGGCGCAGGGCGCGGAGCGCATCCCGGGCAGCGCGGAGACCCTTCCCGGCGGGAAGCGCTCCCGGTGCCGCGCCGGGGGCACATCGCCATCTCCCGGCTCCCGAGGGAAGCGCCGGGAGCCCGCTCGGCTCCGGGAACACGCATTCACTCCCCGCGGAACAGAGGGTGGTCGGCCGGGGGTCAGGTCTGCTTTTTAAGGTACGGCACAAAGGGGAGCGCAGCCCTTATGGGGCTGAGAGCAAACGCGAGCTCGCCCCACTGAAGCATGGAAGGTGCGTTCCCCCCAAAAATATTTCCAAGCCAGCAGGACACTGGAGGTGTCAGGCACACGGCCACAACAAAGTGGCTGAGAGGAAAGGCATCCCCAGGCTGATAAGCACCCTCCACACTCAGATGCTGCTTGGCCACCCCATCACCGCTGCCATGGTGTCCCCATGCTACCCCAGCCATGCAGCAGCACACGGGCAGGAGCTTTTCCACTCTGGCAAACTCCTCACTCCTAGCTTCAAACTCCTCACTACTTAGCTGGCAAACTCCTCACTTTCCCCTAGTCACACTGGGCAGGAGGACATGGGGACCCTGGGGCTATTGCCAAGCTTCAGGCTGGGGGCTGCTCTGCATCATCCATGGCAGGGTAAAATCCCTCCTGGGGCGCTTCCCAGAGACCTCAAAACCCCAGCAGCTTGTGTTGGGAACAAACCTGAGCACACCGTTGGACCCCCTATCAACCACCACTCCCAAGTCCTGCATTTTCACAGGCTGGAATGCCTGGCTGGCCCCCAGCGCCCCTTGATTTATGGGAGGCTCATTCTGTCAAGTAGTGCCTGATCAGACAATGTTGAAGGAAAGGAGCTGCCCCTCCCTACCTGCAGCCTGAGCAGACCACCTTACACCCCCTGGCACTGCCAGAGGTGCTGAGAGGCTCTGCTCTGTAAGAGGTCTAAAGTTTTATCTGTTCTCCCTTAGAGAAGGTCTAAAGTTGTCTTTGTTGCATTAATGGAAGTCCTGGCCTCTCTTCTCTCTACTGAGTTTGAGTCATTTCGTTTATTAACGCAGAAGGTGGCAGGGAGCTCTGGGCTTTGCCTTGGAGGTGCAGTAAAGCTGGGCAGGGAGGCCAAGCCAGGCTCTTGCTGTGGCATGTGCCAGTGGGGGCCTGCCCCTTCCCAACCTTCTGCATAAACCTCAGCGTCAGCAGAGGCCAGCACTCAGTCACGAGGGATTTCTTTTCTTGACTTAGTCCCTTTTCCTCTTCAAAGCAACAGGATGAATGTGTCTTTACAGACCATGTAAATTTGCTTGTAGATAGGGCCAGGGACTTAGAGATAGGGAAGTAATGGGAGAAACTATCAGTTCTAGGAAATGTTACCAATTGACACGGACTGCTCCTCAGCCAAGGCCCTGACAAATTCCTGAACTTTGAGAAGAACAAAGACTGAATGGAATTATGAATATTGTTTTGTTATATATAACAAAGGGGGGGATGTGCATATTAGAGGGGGACATGCAGTAGGCCTTTTGAAGAATCTGTACCTTCCAAGTACCTCAGCCAATGGGGAAAGGAAGAGGCTGTTGCGGACAGGAAATTAGAATAAAAAGGAGGCTGCATCCTCCAATAATTTGAGAGACCCCAAGGGAAATGCTCCATGGCAGTTCCCTTTATTAAAATAAAGTTACAGGGCTCCTCTGTCTCCTTTCTGGACATAAGCCTCTAGCACTGTGAATTTTTCTGCACACTCACCACCACAATGTCATGGTGTTTCCTCAGCTCTCAAAAGAGGTTTTTGCAGAACAGGGTTCTTCACCCTCTGTTTTTGCATTTCAGGGTGCAGCTGGGTAAGTTTTGGAGGCTTTTGTTTCCCTCTGAAGGTAGGAAGAGGAGTTATATACCAGAGAGACACCAAAAACTGGACCTATAAGTAAAACAGAGGCTGTCAACTCTGCCAGAGCTAGCTCAGCAGCCAGACAGGAAATGTGTTTGCTTTCCCACAGCCCAGGAGAGACGACTGGTGCACAGGCAGCAGCCTCCCTCCAGTGTCCTGCCAGCTCTGCCTCCCACCAAGAAGTTCCTAGTCTTCAAATTCCATGCTGCAGGGTTTCTCCTTCAGTTTGTTTTAGAGGACCCAGGGTGAGCCAGGTCTGGTGCCCAGGCAGGGTTGCTCATGAGGGTCTGGCATTAAATCTGGCTTTCCTTTAGGCTTACCTGTCCCTCCTCAGCCACGTTTGTGCCAGAACAGCAGAGCAGTGCAGCTGAGAGGGAGAGGAGCAGGGGAAGTGTTTGGCTGTGCCAAGCAGCTCTGATTTCCTGGGTGCTTTGGTTTTCTCCAGAGCAGAAATCACAGGGTGGCACTCAGAAACTGCTCGGTGGGAGCCAAAAACATTCCAAAAAAATTGACACTGCCTTCAGTGGCCTTCCCTGCAGAAGGGGGATGGAGGAATTCAGGCCTCTCTGGGGGGTAGCTCCCACTGAGCCTGGGCCTCCCACAGCCCCAGTTCTGCTCTCCCCCTGCCCTGCTCCCTGCAGAGCCAGTTCCTGTTTATCGGGATCTGTTCCCAGCGCAGGGTCTTCCCTTACCCTTGCTTTTATGCAGCACTGCTGGAGCCTGATTCCCCTCCAGTCATGGACATGAAAGGCTGTTCCAAGGCTGCCACAAGCTGCACAGGGCAGACACTGAATGCACACCAGGGGAATGCTTCCCATATGCCTTTATTTGCAATGTTACAGGACTTTTTTACAGGCACTGTGCGTTGGTGTTCCAGACTGGTTTGGATTTTTTTTCTGTATTACCCAATGACCGAGAGGTATGGTGGGAGTAGGGAAAACCCCTCACAGCAACCCTTCCAGCCTCCAGGAAAGCATAAGACATCTGAGAGCAACAATCTGCTTCTTCCGAAGCCACGAAGCGAGGAATCTGGTTTATAAACAGGCTTAAAAAATAACGTACATATATAAGAGCAGCTCGAAGCTAAAGTACAGCGGTAAGTGGTACATAGCTACGCGTATCTGTGCACACCCTTTCTCCAAAGCTGGGAAAGGCATGGCTTATAAACTAGAAACACAGTTAAAAAAAAAAATAAAAGATTCCATGCATTACGTTTTAGTGTTTTGTGCAATTAAAATGGAATGAAAATAAATATAACTTAAAAAAAACCCCAACCTTTTCCATGACACTAATGGATCAGAGGCAAAGTCTCTAAGGCACTTCCACATGGGCTATTCTAGAAAGCCTGGCAAGGAGCTAAAACAGTGCAACCATTTACAATGGCATCTGATGAGCAAAAGACACCTGTCTGGTGAGATATGAACTGAGAAAAAAAAAACCTTAGGAAACTTCAGTCCTTGGGAAAGAGGCTTGGCTGCAGATGGCTTGGTGGCCAACTCCTCCTCCTCCTTATTGCTGCAAGGGAGGTCTCCCCCACCAAGGGTGCTGGACCCATCAAACGATGGCAGAGGGGTCTGGGCCCTGCTTCTTGGGAGCGAGATTGGACAGTGGGTTTGGGGATGGATGGAGCAGGTGAGGGATTCGTGGTTGCCAAGCTCCTGCACCACCTCCTGCGCTGCACATTCCTCGACGGAGGGCTCCTGCCTCCTGCAGCCTTCCCTCCTCTCCAGGGATGACCTTTAGCGCACCAGCCCTGCCGCAGCTCGGTTCAAATGTTCCAGGAAGTTAAAAAATAGCCTCCGCCCTAAATAGGGAACTGGGTGTGTTTGCAGGAGTGGGAGCACAGGGACCGACACACGGCCCCAGGCTGGGGAGCAGCGCAGCTGTGTGGAAAAAGGGGAAGGCATGGGGATGCCTGACCCCAGCTCTGCTTTGCCAAAGGTGTCTAACCCGGGAGCTGCCTTGCTGCTGTAACCCTTCACCTGATGCAGATGGAAATTATGGAGATGCTCCAGGTGGGAGGGTCGCCCTGGGCTAGGTGTGAGTGTTGGTGGCACTACACATGTACCCAGCTGGTGACAAAAAAGACTGATCAACCTGGATGGCTACTTTAGGTCTCATAGTAGTCCTTTATAAGCTATTTTTCCCAGCTAGAGAGGATTGGAGACCCCAGCTAAGGTAGGCTGGAAGCAGTTCCTAGCAAGGGAGCTGAGGCTCTAGAGAGGAGCCCGAAGTTTTGCTCACCAGGGCACCCAGCATGGGGGACATGGGTGGGAAGCACCTGGCTATGGCAAATACCTGTGCCTGACTACATGGCTCTGCAGCAGGAGGGATACCCTCACCCTCCAGTGCCACTCAAAAATAACTAAGCAACCTATATAAGATGTCTTGAACACAAATGAACCCCCAAATCTGCTCTTCTAGCAGCTCTGAAGGACTCGGCACAGCCAGCTCCCCGGGCTGAAGGGTACTGGCAGAGACAACTAAAGGGCTCCTACTACAGTGTCCTTCACCATCTCCACACCCCGCTCACACTCTCTGACTGCCAGAGGGTCCTGGGCAGGGTCACTGAGTGTTTTCAGGACGATCCTGGTGCAGGAAGAGGCTCCTTCCTCTGCCAGCCCTCTTAACATCAGGCTGAGCAAGAGACAAAAACACGATAGGCGAAGCATGCACTTGCCTAAGCAACCCCACCGGGCTGCTCTGGGCCACCTGCTCCCACTGACTCTGCAAAGCCAAGGTTTCAAGTTCAGCTTTTGCTCTGGCAGGTTAGCTCTCTATTTACAAGGAGGGGTGGGGGGAAACAACCAAGACAACCTAAAAAAAAAAAACCACAACAAAAACACATTAAATAGGGAGAGTATAGCTTTCAAATGGGGAGGGCGAGGGCTGGAAAGTGTCTTGTAGTGCAGTTCAGAAGAGTCAGTCGGGGGCAGGTTGGGGGTAGTGGCAGAGTCAG